AAATCTGCCATCCGGTTTAAGAGGAGTTGCGTTCACAAAATTTCTACATAGTATATAATGAAAAAATAAAAAAAGGGCAATAATTCTGTTAAATTTGGTTGCAGCAAAAATTCCTTTCTTTACTACCATCTACACCTGAAGGTTGTTCATCCCTGTAAGTTTAAGCAAAATCTGCCATCGGGTTTAAGAGGAGTTGCGTTCACAAAATTTCTACATAGTATATAGTGAAAAAATCAACAAAGGGCCATAATTTTGTTAAATTTGGTCGCAGCAAAAATTTCTTCCTTTACTGCCATCTACACATTAAGGTTGTTCATCCCTCTAAGTTTAAGCAAAATCTGCCATCCGGTTTAAGAGGAGTTGCGTTCACAAAATTTCTACATAGTATCTAGTGAAAAAATCAACAAAGGGCCATAATTCTGTTAAATTTAGTCGCAGCGAAAATTCCTTCCTTTACTACCATCTACACATTAAGGTTGTTCATCCCTGTAAGTTTAAGCAAAATCTGCCATCCGGTTTAAGAGGAGTTGCGTTCACAAGATTTCGGGACGTACGGACGGACGGACTGACGGACTGACGGACGGACGGACTGACGGACGGACGGACAAGTGCAACGCTATATGCTCCCACATTGTGGGGGCATAATGAAGAGAAATTTAAAACATTCATTTAAAGTCATGCAAAACTAAACGAACCTGTGAAACGTTTAACTAATGCCTGGAAATTGACACTGAATACCCTGAAAATACCAATCAGCCGTGTCATGACAAAACCAACATAATGGGTTTGCGACCAGCATGGCATCCAGACCAGCCTGCGCATCCGCGCAGTCTGATCAGGATCCATGCTGTTCGCTTACAAACCCTATAACAAGTAGAGAAACTGATAACGAACAGCATATGGATCCTGATCAGACTGCGCGGATGATAAAATTTCGAAACCCTCAAATGTACATGTAATGGAGATGATTCATTTTACAAAAATATGACATGTCTTTTGTTCAATTGTTACTGTTTTCTTAAATTGTGATGTTTCTTAGAACAAAACAAAACATGTGTAATTATCTCGCGACTGACACAACCGGCCAATAAACTCGACAAGAAAAACGAATTTTTCTAGTTAAAAAAAAATCTTGAAATAATTAAAAATCGGAAAATTTTACTTTATTACATGAAAAAGAAATGACTGTTTTTTTGAAAATGAATTCTGAAAAAAATGGCCCAATTTAATGAAACAACGTTGCATACACTGCGGAAAAATGTTGTTATGAAACAGCACACAATCACTTAAAAGAAATGATAACCACCTGAGTCTAAGTAGCCATTTTTGCAACTGATACCAAAGTAGCACAAGTGGTTCATTCAAAAATATGTTCAAAAGTAAATAAAACGCATTTAATGTATTGATAAAGATACATAATGTTTGAACATAAGCAACAAAGAAATACAGTAAAATAAAGAAAATAAGAATTCCTAAAGAAAGCCCAACACGGCAAAATTGAAAATGTTGCAGACTCGGTTTGATTTAGCATGTTCATGGACGGGAATGTCAAGTGCAAACTACCGTCCACCCCTTCTAGCACCGGATTAAGCAAAATTCAACATTTAAACATGAAAAGGTAAAATTTTGAATTTAGAAACATCCGCATATGTGTTCATACGCCAGATATCATGAAACCTTCGATGTGACACAGTAGTGCATACCATTCCATGAAAAGCGGTGTATGGCCCCCAAGTAATAATCAAAGGGCTGCAAGCTCTGTGGTATTTTCTGATCTTTGCAATCTAAATCGTAGTGTGTATCTGTATGTATTTTTCAGTATAAGTTTTTTTTTATATACTATAATTCATCTTGCAGGGCACCGAGATGCAGCGACTGCGTTTGGATTTTTTACTATAACAGTTTGAGTTTGATACATACGGAATTTTGCATGACTAGAGTTGCATCAAAATTCATTTATGTTCATTGTTTTTGACAATTCTATAAGCCAACGCTACTTTTAAACTTTGAATTCGTTGTAATTTGTTTGATACTTGTACCAAAATAAAAATATTTCTTTCTTTAGCATCACTAGTTTTAAGCTGTTTTGAGAACTACTTGTTGTTAGGTTTGTCGTGAAGCTTCTGTGTCAGAGATTGATTAACATCTATAAATATATGTACGAGCTAGGCGACATTTTACGACCTCCAAACTGTACAAATAACACCAGTTTAATTAATGGAGATTGTTTTTCTAGGTGTAGGACTACATGTTAACCTGTCAGAACTTCAAAGTATTGCGTCTAAGCCAGAGCTCGTGTTCAAAGTGGACAACTTCAGCTCATTGCAAGTTATTGAAGAAAAAGTTATTACGGAGATTTGTAAAGGTTTGGTTGTTTGTAAGCATTATTTACATTGATGCATACGTGTTCTCTTCAAGGTTACTAAAACTGTACTTGTATTGTTGTTATGTATGTAAAATTTTAAGATAAATTAAGACGTTCTATCATTTATCAAATTTGGAAGATTTTTAAAATGATTCACACGATATTTTTTATAAAGCATTAATGGTAGCCGACACCGACTAAATGACTTTATTTTTACTGTGATTGCGGGGTACTTTTCAGATATTACATAATGTAGATCTAGTCCAAATAAACCGTCAAAGATTTCCCAGCTTTGCTTAATACTGTATAAGAATAACGTCAGTTTGTTGTTGTTGTTTTTTCTTTAGTCTATATTTGAAATAACATTGTATCTATTTTAGAAGATTCGTGAAGAAGGAACGAGATAAAAGAACTAATTATAACCAGGATATACACCATTTTCTACACACAACGGTCCTCTCATTAAAATCTGACGTTTTTAAGTGTATAAATTTGCAGCTTTATAAAAATGATGTCGAACAACTTTTCATTTGTTTTACAAATTGATTATTTCATGGTATGATTCATTTCATATTATTAAAACGCCATGTATTGGTGTGTTCAACTAGCTAAACTTTCAGCACCAAATTGAAAAGTTATCATTATTATTATTATTATCATCATCATTATTATTATTATTATTATTACTGGTGTCATATGAAGAAACATGGTGGTGACCCGAGTAGGACTCGAGCCAAGAATCCCTGTGTTGAGAGGCAGACACCTTAACCACTCGGTTAATAGATATAAATTTCTGATATAAAACAACAATATAACATTACATTATGAACAAATTAAAGATCAGTATGGGTTTGAACATCTGGCTGAAATACATGTAGTATGAACATTACCAACAATAAAAGTGACATAGGTTTTAAAAATCTGCTAACGAAACTTCATAACACACAACTAATCCGAGACAATGTTATAAAATTTGACGTCTCTAAGATGATCGTAAATTTTGAGCTTATAAGTAAAGATCACAACTTTTCATTATGTTTTTGATATTATGGCTTGACATATTCATATGATTATAAAATTGTTGGTGGTCCTTGCTTAAACTTAAAATTGTATGCACAAGATATTGGAAATATACTGTAGACATATTTATTTACTTTTCGTCAACGACTGAAAGATTGTTTTGAACAAAAATGGCATACTTATTTACTTAAATAAAGTTGAGTTGAGTTGAGAAACTAAACAGGTGGCATCAATTTATATCTGTTCGTTCGTTCGTTCGTTCATTCATTCATTTATTCACATATTTTTTTCTTATATTACACTTATTTCAATTAAACTCAATTCGTTTCAAAAATAATTTCTGTTTGATGATTAAATTGAAACACGTATTATTATATGTTACAGTTTCAATACATAACATGCTGTGCAAAACTTCATAGAAAGAAATTAATATAAAATTATTGTACACTTACTTTAAATACCATTAACTTAGTTACTTAGACCAAGAAAATAGATGTATTTAATATTTTTTAATTCATTTCAATAACAAAAATACAGATGATAATTTTTTTCTGGTTCTCCGTGTATAAAAAACACACTTCTTTGTTGATTCAGATTTTGTATAATAGTTCTAGAATGTTGTACATGTTACAACAATGAGCGGTCAATGACCAAAAGTCAATGAGTCCTTTGTTTCATATTTTAGTATTAGTACAATTGGTACAATTAATAAAGAGTAATTATTGAAACAAACGCACTGGTTCACAGAACAGAAATCAACAGTTTAATAATGTAAATACTATTATTTGCAACCATAGTTAATATCAAACTTTTGGCAACTTTAAAATTCGCCAAAATGCCATTTTGATATCAGATGTTAAGTGCAGTTGTTTAATGCTTTTATTCAGTCTGGTGCCATACTTTATCATTCCCGCATAATGTATTTGACTCATTCTATAAATATCTGCTCTAATACGTGGCTGTGTATATAATTATAAATTTATCATACCATAAGAATGTGTTACATAATCGAAGTTATTTTTGGCAAAACAAAATAAAAATAAAAAAACACCAGCAAACAAACAAACAAACAAAAATAAAATTCTGGAATGTGACGGTCATTAAAAGCATAGTTAAATGAAAACCTAAAAAAATGCTGCATATCGGTGGCACGTTGATTGACAGCAGCTTCCGTTCACCACCCCCCCCCCCAAAGCACCGGCTTAAGCATGGCTCAACATATACATTGGGAAAAAGTGCCCTTAAACGGTACAATGATGCCATCGATAATGATTTGTCTTTTCCAACAGTAACATATTTCCATTTTGACTAATTGATATTTAATTTATTGGCTACTTGATTTTATTATTTTGATATTGAAAATACCCCGCAAATTTACTATGAATACTTCAAGATTGAAAAAGGACATGTCCATTACTTCATTATTTCAGCAAGAGTACATGCAAAACATTCCAAAATTACGTAAATAGTCCCTGTAATCACAACATGTCTAAATACCATACTAATTATACCGTCCCTTAATTGCCCTACAATTACATCTATTTATAAAACAATGCCTTTGTATTATACAAAAAAATACGTTTACCACTTAAATGTTGGCGACATACGAAATTCCAGAAGGCTGCGTTGCCATTGTAAAATGTCTATATATATACACGAGGCTCAAAAGACCATAGATTTGTGAAAAATAAATTCACAGGAAAGATCCGAGCAAAAATGCCAGGAATTAAGAAAGTCACGTTGTTATTATTTCTAACGGTAAGCGATATTTCATCTTACATCGATATTAAACATCTCTTATCTATTATTTTATTTAAGATTCCATATGTTAATTTGTCAAATGATTGGATATCACAATTTAATATCTCACTCATTTTGTACGTTACTAAGCAAGCGTGATTTTAAATGTCACTCATGTTATTACTTTTGTATTAATATTCTTGTAAATAAATCTTCTAAATAATTTTGTAAATCCTATATTTTAAAACGTGATGTTTTGAAAATTAAGACTAAACAAGTAGGAGTAGGGTCAAACACCAACGATTCCTAGGTTGAGTGACACCCCATAACCATTAGGCTACCGCTGCCTCCTTTTTAATGAAAATTTATAAAGCATGTCTTATAACAAAGCTTTTATTTCTTTTCCGACAGGTTAACATTATATTGGGTGAGTAGGACGTTATTTCATTGCGTCTTTTTTATTTTATTTATTTTACTTTTTTATTTTATTTTATTTTATTTCATTTCGTTTTAAATTCATTTTTGCATCAAATTATTCCTTTAGACTGGAAGGCAAAAACGTGATGTTTTATACAAGTTGTAAAAAGGGAAGTATATATATGACTAATACAATACATGTATTAACACAGACTTGTCAAGAACTAAAATTCTTTAAAATGATTTTATTCCAATTATTATAATAATAATTTATATAGTTTACTTCTATGGTAAAATATTGAAATGACGGTATACTGCACGTTATTATATTGTATACATTGTGTTTCTAAACAGATAGTGTATATGTAAACTAATATTAGAAACTGAAAAGAACAATTATGACAAAGTCCGTAGCCTGTCACCCTCGTTAGAATGCTATATTTGACTGTTGTGTTACAGGATCTGAAGTTTCAGAATCTCAGCCATGTGGAATCCCAGCAGATGTTGCCTTTTTAATCGACAGTTCAAGGAGTATCAATTCAAAAGACTATGCTAAACAGATAGAGTTTGTACAAGAAATGGTGGGAATGTTTGAAATCGGGCCAGATGCCACACACATTGCAGCTCTGACATTCGCTGATAAAACTGCCGTTGAATTCTATTTTGGCGAGTACGAAACCTCAGAAGCCGCAAAGGAAAGGGTGTGTATTATTATAAAAAAAAAAACAACATTTTGACCATTACCATGCTAAATGTGTTAAATTGCTTTGTCCATCTTTCAATCTTGACAAAACCATTCATCATTTTTAGGGAATATGTCGTAATATATAAGTACTGGGGGAATAGTTAGCAATGTAGAGCATGATCTGAGTCTGCCCTGGTCCCGTGTGTTAAGTCACGGCAGGTTTACGGTTAAAACGTTTCTAAAAAATTTGTACATGTAATTTTTTTAAAACTTCGATCATTTCATTAATTAGAATAAACATTTCAAATACTATATTAATATTAAAAGAGTCTATATGATATTACAGTAGTGGAAGTATTATCAGAGTGTTCACTAATGTGTATATTGTATAAAACTAACAACGAGTAGACTTTTTTAACATTACCGATTTACGCCTGTTACATTTCAAAGAATTGTCAAAATCATTGGTCATACCTTAAAACTAATTCAACCTAATTGTTGAACAGATTGGGAACATTGCGCATGCAAATGGAGGTGCTACATACACACATAATGCTCTAAAGTCAATGCGCGAAGATATTTTCACTGTTGAAAATGGTATGCGTACTGGAGTGCCAAAAATAGGGATCCTACTAACTGATGGAAGATCTACAAGTGCATATCGTACACAAAAAGAAGCCAATCTGACCAAGGCAGCCGGTATTAACATATTGGCTGTCGGCATAGGAAGTGTAAGCACGGTTTCTTTTTATTTTGATGGTAAAACTTTATGTAGTAATATGTGCTAAAATGTAACTCTTGTAAGGAATCATTTTTTACAGGTATTATTTTACGTTTTATGGTCAGGAAAGCATTGTTATAAATAAATTTAAGTGTGTAGAAATATGTATATAACAGATATTTATTTTATATTTACATATGTATATTTTACATTCAATTGAGCCGCGTCATGACAAAACCAACATAATGGGTTTGCGACCAGCATGGATCAAGACCAGCCTGCGCATCCGCGCAGTCTGATCAGGATTCATGCTGTTCGCTTACAAACCCTATTACAAGTAGAGAAACTGATAGCGAACAGCATGGATCCTGATCAGACTGCGCGGATGCGCAGGCTGGTCTGGATCCATGCTGGTCGCAAACGCATTATGTTGGTTTTGTCGTGACACGGCTCAATTTATCCGCTTGGACATCATTTCCTACAGATACGCCGAGCAGCATATACAAGAAGATCTTACTTTTAGTACATTATTATTACAGATTAATTTGATTGTATGTTTTTACTTGCAAATTGGTTTGATTGGTTTGGGCATTTCTTATTACAGATAAATCGTAACGAACTTGAAACTCTTGTTTCACCGCCATCAGATAAAAACTTTTTGTACAGAAAGAGCTTTGACGAACTAAAATCAGAAGCAACAAAGAAACTGGTGGCACAAACTGCATGTGCAGGTACTTATGTGTGTTTTTTTTCCTTCTTCAATTTCTTTGTTTTTCTGTATAGAGGAAAAGGACACATTCATTATCGCAAGGTAAGTTGCATAATGCGGGGAGCAAACGGTTTGTGCCTCAGATTCTCTTGTCAACACATTTGCAAATTTTCATTAAATAATGCAAGAAGAAATAAATGTTGCCTGGTGTAAGTCGAAAGTTTTTATACAAACAATCAAAACAATTTAATCTATGTATCCCCTAAAAATGCATTAACATTTACATGTATATGAAATAAATAATGATATCAATTAACTATAACTTTGTCCTGTATGTAACGTACGTATAGCATAATGGTGGATATTACAGGAATAGAACACTTGACTTAGAGTTTAAATAAACAATTTGTAAAAGCGTGTGCCATTGATAATAACATTAATACAATATGATATAATAAGAAAAGGAGCAGATTCACCTCATATTTAACTATATAATTTTGATGATTAAATATATAACTATCATAATTTATGCATCACGTTTACAATAAAATGTGCCTACAGTCATCGAGACGACAACAACAACTACCACCACCACGACGCCCACCACGACAACAACAGAACCAACAACGACGACGACAACAACAACAAAGAAACCTACGACTACCGAACCACCACCAACTACTTCAGACAGTAAGTCATACTGATATTTTCGCTCAATGCCAGAGAAAAATGTCTGATTCTTATATGTCTTCACAAATACACAGAATCGTTTGATTGGTTCTGTTTCTCATTAATTGTTTACATTCACGACTGTTCTTGAAAAAAAAGTTTTTTATTAAGCAATAAAGTAATAAAAAGACGGAGTTTCAGATAGCTTTGAAATAACTCCCAGCGTGTATGTCGTGAGGTCAGTTCAATTTTGAGCTGATGTATTTTAGAAAAAAAGCTGAATGTATGAAAATTGTTATCAAAATGCTGATCAAATATTTATTGACACATAGATATTTTTAAAAATTCAAACTTTCTCAACATATTTGCAACAGATGAATAAAGTTCTTTTTTTATCAAGTAAAGATTTTTTGACGACGTTAATATTAATTACAATATAATATAGTTTATTTAAACACAGAAACATAGTTAAACTGTGTCGTTACTAATGAATTTATTTTTCTATCTAAGTGATGATGGCAGACCAAGCAGCTCTAAGTAAGTACATATTTCCTCTTTATTTGTCAAAATTTTGTATTAAAAATAAAACAGTAAAGAAACTAAATTAAAAGCACAAATAATAACAAAATACCATTGCAATCTGTTTTTTCGGAACTATTCTTTTGTTGCTATGCAACTACGTGTAGATGACGGCGCCAATAAAAAAATCCTAGTTCGTTCAAAACGTAGATTTCAGATGTCCAAAAACGTAGATTAATGTTAATTACTGTTTGCATCTGTAACGTTAATCATGGCATTTGAAATAGTTTAAATTGGCAATCGTTATTATCATATACCTGTAAGAAGTGTGACCTTAACCCTAAACCTGCTGAATTTCTTAAATGAACTTGCCCAACCTACATTTTAGGACTGTCCATTATAAATTGTGGTGATACCCAAGATGAAAATTAAGTTATGTCAGCCAACAGAGACGGCATAGACTTTCAGGCTGGCCTAGCTCTGTACTGGTGGTTGAGTCTGACCACTATCATTTTCAGCAGTGTAAGGTTTTACGGCATTAAATAGGTATTAACTGTTAAACTTTTCATCTTTTTAAGAACTGAAATAATATTTTGGATTATTTATTTATTCAGCTTGCCAGGGGAAAGAAGCCGATGTTATTTTGCTTGTCGATATGTCCAGTAGTATCTGGTCAAAACATTTCGACGATGAACTTCATTTCCTTGCCGATCTTATTGGAATATTTGACATTGACAGTGGGAAAACAAGGGTATGTAACTCTTGGTATTTAGGTATATATTTATATATGATGATTTATAAACATCCCATGCCTATTTGTGACTCCGTAAAAATGATATACGTATTGCACGGCTATGCATATATTTTGTTATACAAACGTATTGTAAAAACGCGCAAAATATAAGCGGTGATAATGAAAAATAATTCTTTTGCACTTTAAACATTTTTTTTTTATTTTAGGTATGTGATAAATAGAGTATCATATTCGTGTAGGTCCATTACTGAATTTATCAAAATAATAATATGAAAGCTTCATGCACGAATATGAATGTTAATTTCTATATCCTTTTTTATTTCTTTAGAACTACGTGTATTATTTAGGCTATTTTGAAATCATTGTAATTTATCTAGAATGTCAAAAACATAGTCTCAAAAAAACAAAATGGAAATTGTATAGACAAAATTCTTGTATCATATAGGTTGGACTGGTAGCTTTCAGTGACAATGCCGAACCGAAGTTCTACCTCAACGATTTCAAGAACAATGAAGATATTAGAAATGCTATCCTAAAAGTTAAATCTGAAGGTGGAATAACTAACACCCACCTTGCTTTACAGGTAATTGTATGCGGGTGACTTAACTAACACCCATCTAGCTTTACAGGTAATTGTATGCGGGTGACTTAACTAACACCCATCTAGCTTTACAGGTAATTGTATGCGGGTGACTTAACTAACACCCATCTAGCTTTACAGGTAATTGTACGTTGGTGACTTAACTAACACCCATCTAGCTTTACAGGTAATTGTATGCGGGTGACTTAACAAACACTTGTCAGACTTTAAAGTTTATTGTGTGTGACTTAAGTAACATACTTACAAACATTAAATCAGCCCCATAAGTATGTATATGCATTTTAATTAAGACGTCTTTTTATGAGTACTTTTTTGTGAAATCTTATAAAATTGGTGTACAATTTGTTGTAACTAACCACTTCCTATTCTTATAAATAACTTTTTTTATTTGATGACAGACATTAATTCAAGAAATGTTGAAAGCAAAACATGGTTCCCGGCCTGATGTAGCGCATATCTGTATTCTGATTACTGACGGGAGATCCAGCAAACCGGAACTAACGTTACCAGAAGCTCAACTTGTACACAAGTCCGGCGTCAATGTGTTTGCAATTGGTACATAAAATATTCTGAATATCATTTAGTTTTCATACCATTGTTTGATATTAATGTGTCTTTTGCAATTGAAAATGGTCCAGTTAACAAAAAACGAAAAGAAATAAAAAATGACGAACAAATAAAAAGAACATTACGAAAATGTAATACAAAACAACAGGCTAACAGTTGTTTTTTTATCATTTTTATCCGGATTTCTTTCTGTTTAACTAGGTGTTGGCAATATGACAGATTTTGATGAATTGAAATTGATGGCGTCAAAACCAGAGTTTGCTTACGATGTGGACAGTTATGACATGTTGAAATACATACGTTACCTTCTGGCATATAAGGCTTGCGAAGGTACTAGTAATGAAAAAATATACAATATCAACATGAATGTAAATGAAAGACCGTTTATACTCGAACAAAAGTGTGTCTTGAGCATATAAGTAGCTTTACAAGAGATGTATGACTGATTGACCATAGGTTGAATAAGGCTGGCTTGTCGTGAATATCGAATTAATTATCTATATCATATTATTAAACTAATTGTTAAGTTTATATTCCCCTTGCATAATTTACTGTGACAATGAATATGTTACTTTATTTGCAATTATTATTTTAAGTTCCTTTTTCTTACAGTGCCACAAGGTGACCAGCCACGTAAGTTGAGATTTCAGAAACAATTTTAGATTATTTCAACCTTTTGGAAAATAGCTTGAAATAGCATCATATGAAATTATCATCACGAATATTTTTTTTCATTTGTTTCATTAAATAGATTCATTCAACTCAATTTTACAACTATTTTATACAAACAGTTTGAACACATAAATGAATATGATATTAGTATGTTAACAGAATGTTTAAATTTAGATTTATTGATGAAAAACTTTTATTCAGAATGTGCGAAAAATCTAAAGGCTGACATTATGTTCGGTTTATATGGAATCGGGGGCGAGGATAGAAACAAGGTGACGGACTTTATGAAGAAGGTAGGTGGCGCTTTTGATCTTGAGTCCGGAAACGTGAAGATCGGTCTGAATGAGGATTGTGGAAAGGCAATGATAAAACTTCAAGAATTCGGAGACAAGGAATACTTTAGTACCACTGTTGATGAAGTCATGGGAACCGAAATCTCAACGCTGCTTGGTAACCTGCGTAGAAGTTTTGGGTTTTCTAGAAAGGATGCAGACAAAGTGGTTATACTGGTCGTGTCAGGAAAGCTCGAAGGTGTGGAAGAAGAGGAGTTCTACGAAACTGTACAGAGATTCAAGCATGGTAACCGAGTCATCGTTGTCGGCGTTGGTAAAGGCACTGACAAGAGTCAACTCGAGAAATTAGCAACTTATAAAGACAATAGTGAACCTGATGATTCTCACGTGTTTATGGTCGACGATTCTGATGATTTACTGTTTGAGGTCAAGAAAATACATCATCTCATGTGCAATGCTCAGTAAACATGGAAACATAGAAAATCGCATTGTTAACCCCCGCACCTTACACGGTTTCCTGTGACTACATGTCCAAATTTGGGACAAAATCATAAAAGCATATAGGATTTAAAAAGTTTGTATCAATGATTTATTGACACGTGTGACTGTGTGTTAGTTAATATACTTCTTTTGTGTAACATTCCCATCTCGTCCATACAACAGAAACTTATCTCATTGCTACTTGTAGAATGTACATTGATGACCAGTCATGAGAATCGACTGTGATTTGCGCATGCGCAATGTATATTCGTGAATAAAGTTATTGTTCTTTCGTAAATATTGCTTAATATAAGGTATGGCGATGAGGAAGATTTTGATTCGGGGTAAACACGCTTTCATTTAGCATTTGATTAAATGTCTATAATGGTCAAAACATTGTACTTAATAAAAGATTTTTCATCAATTCTTTAATTCTTTTAGTACCATTTAATATTTCATTTATTATATTTTGATTATATGAAGACCTATTTACATGTATAACATTTATTTCTAATAATAAATTTTTGGCTAGTAAGAGAAATAAGCCACACAGAAAAAGTTGAAGCATGACACGGACGTTATCGTAGATGGCCGATGAGGTTTCCTTGTTCACCCTTTATTTTCTTAAGTTTTAACTTCTATTTGTCAGGGTCACGTGGCGACTTCCTAATGTTAAGTACATACTAGTACTGCCTTCAAATATAACTCATTTAATATATATCGCCTTCTTTCGCAGATCATGAATCAGTATAACCTTAATTCATGAAGGCAGTCTCAGTATCGTAGATCATGTACCATCTTTCATGTATAAAAGTTACTATATATTCGGTCAGAAGGATTCAAAATTGCTCAGGCAATCTGTAAGCCTGAGGTTTTATGATATGCAATGCTTTTTTCATTGAATTAAGCAACATGTTTTTGTCAATCATCTGTAGACAATATATCAACCATAGTTTTCACTCATAATGCAATATTGTCATTTTACCAAGTCACATATTCCTTTTAAAGTTTGTTTTACACCAGGCAACATATATCTACATACTTAAATTATGTTTCTTAATCAATGACATTCAGCTAATAAGCAAAACCTTTAGACAGGTACAGGAGTCAAGGATATCAGCACTATCTATAAGATTTTCATTTTCCAAGCAAGAACCAAAGAAGAAGTATTCATTTAATTTTTGCATACAATATTTTCGTTTAAAAGTTACCAATAAAACTTATATACCCGTGAAAATCTTGGAACCTTGGAGTTGAGATGATAAGAATTTTGAATTGCTGAAAAGCGCTCTTCAAAATAAGATAGGTAAGTTGAATGTTTTTTTATCGCTTTCTTTGATATAACTTAAACACTACAAATATCTTGTGATTAACCACAGACCAGAATGGTAAGTATTTAGGCAAACCATTTAGTAAACTGTCAAAACTAGCACCGAATTGCAAGTCTTTTATATACCCCTTCATTTAAGACATATATAATCTACATTGAAATTAGGAACACTTTCCCAAAGTCATTCTATTTTATAATTACTTTTGCTACCTGATTGAAACAAATTTTTCACAAATCTCTTAAAAGTCGTATATTTATTTTATAATTGTCCGTATGTAAAACTTCTATCTATTTAGCACTGGATATCACGTCAGAGGAGACAACCACACAACTGAAGACAACACAGATGTCAAAAACAACAACTTCACTGCAAACTGAGACAACTGAAACACCATCAACAACAGAAACAACAACAACGCAGGGACCAATAAAAACAACAGCAGAAACAATTAGAACGAAATCAACTGTTGCAATATCAGTTCCAGAAAGTAAAACGACACCATTACCTGTATCAAAGAAGTTGCCAACAGAGGCAGCATCAACAACAACAACGGTGTCTACAACAACAACGATGGGAACTACTTCCACAACAGAAACAAAAACTATCGTAACAAAACCGGAACCGGAAATTAACACGCCAACTTTAACAACAACAACATTATCATCATCAACAGCATTCGTATCAACAGGTAAATGTAAATGTGAAAAATAGTTTACTCGCGTAATATATTACAATGACGCGAAACATTTGGAAAAGTAAATAGTATTGCTGTGAAATTGTTAAGATATGGAGTACAAGTATTTTCAAAAAGCAATGATTTCAAAAAGCAATTTAAGTTAAAGGAATGTAAAATGCTTGATAAAATCTTTTTTTCAAAACAGCAATTAAATTTGTAACAGTTAACCGCGGCGTCCGTATTGGGCGTTATAATAGTGATATGGCAGAATTACTATTAATAATAACACAATATACAATTTGTAGGACAAAACTGGCGTTAGAGGTTTGCCTTTTATTTTTCATTAAATCGGGGTATTTCTAATAGTTGAAAGACCATGACTTAATATAATACTTTGGCCAAAGTGGAACCTGCATGCATTGGTAGCATACTTGCATTATTAATTGTGCTTATGCTAAAATATATACACAATGTTACTCATTTAACATTTCAGAAATGCCAGACGAGGAGCATGGGAAAAGTAAGTTTTCTATTCCTATTTTACTCTCCGTAATTGCTAATAGGGACTGCCTCTCTTTAATCAGTAGACGTTTGACAATATTTTCATAATAACTGCATGCTTTGTTGTGGCACTAAATGGTTTGAATTAACATAACTATAAAATGACAGTCACAGTATGCACTAGATTTCCGACAACCACTGACTCGATAATTATTATTAATTATCATTAATTATTATAATCACTGGTTTTATCCTAAGCAGTAATCGCTAATATGCAAATTTCTAGCATTATCACAGAGTATACTGTAAAGCTTTAAGTATGGAATTTGCTGATTGCTATAAATAACATCGTTAGGAACTAGCGATCGAATGAATTAATTTCATTTTTTTAATGTTTCAGAACCTCAGAAAGACCAACCAAGTAAGTTACTTAAGTTATTTTTAACATTTTAACATAAGTCACATTCAATCCACCGTTGTTAAACAATAAAACAAAAACAAAAAAACTAACAAAATACAAAAAGCTGTAGGTCTTTTTTCAAATTTAGCAATATATGATATAAGATATCCACTAAAATACAATATATAAATGTGCTCGTCTTCAGAATGTATGCCGTTAGTGAAAGCCGATCTTATATTTGGACTACAAGCAATTGGTGGAGGTGACCGTGAAAATGTCGCCAATTTTATCAAGGCGATCGGTGGCGGGCTTGATCTTAAATCAGGTAATTTCAAACTTGGCATCAAAGAGAACTGCAAGGAAAACGTGTTATATCCAACAGAATTCGCATATTTCGAAGACTATAACTATGCCTTACATGACGTCATGGAGTCAGACATTACACCTATTTTGTTACATACACGGCGAGCATTCAACCTATCCAAGCGGCGAGCAGACAGGGTGGCGATTCTTCTAATCTCTGGAAAACTTCACGACGTGGACAGGGCTAAACGGCTTGCTAAACAAATAAAGAAGAACACAAAAATTATCGTTGTCGGCGTCGGCAAATACTTTGACACTGAACAATTGCAAGGTCTGGCAAGTTACAGGGACAGATCTGAGCCGGATATATCGCATGTGTTTCCGGTCCCTGACTCCACAGACCTCCCTTACATTGTGAAGAAACTAAATAAACTTTTGTGCAACTAGCCACAAACAATAGCAAAATTGTCTTTTGCCATGTTTTGATTCAAATTAATTTATAAACAGTATTGGGGGTTATATGCCTCCGAAATATATAGGGCTTGTGCTTTCATAAAATACAAAACAGCATTAACTTTGTTTCGTTTTCAGTATTTCATATTTATTATTTGATCTTGTTTCGCTTTAAGTAAAATATTTATTAAAATTTCTGAAAAAAATAACATTTTATTTTTTATTTGTCTTCGGGATCATTGATTCCAACACTTAATTAGCGAAAAATGACTGCCGGTGCTAGAGGGCGAGAGGGATGTTGCACTTTTTATAATATCCCTCATGTACAGACTCAATCAAACCGAGTCTGCAATTTTCATGTTATTTTGTTGTAAATAATGTTTCCGAGGAATCAGTTTTTCCAGATTTTTTTTTTAAAATACCAATCAGTTATACATAAGAATGCCGCCTATCTGAGCGTCATTGCTTGTCAATTGCGCCACAATAAAAGTAAAATGTTGTCTCAATCCAGTTCCACTTCATCGATCAAAAAATCAATACTAGTTATCTGCAAATAGATAGCTAATGTTATCTATACGAATTAAAATGGTTTTGAATAAAATTGAAAATATGTACGAAAGAGTATATATATAGCTCTGTGTCACTCACTAAAACTAAATAATTTGATCAACACCAATATAACACACAACATTTTTCTATCGGCTTAAAAGATTCATTAGCAAAAAACGTAGTTAGTTCTAGAACCTGGCAGAACAGGCCGAAAATAATGCCAGTATATAAATATCACATGACTGTTGGGGTGATAGTGGATATTGTCAACCGGAAAACTTGCATATTACCCAAAGGCACAGCTTCTTATAAAAACTAGTTCAGGCAACAATGCAGTTCGATAAATAAGGGAGCAATTATATATTAAACTCGATTTCTGATTAAGTTTTTGTTTTGATGGGAAGCTTATGTAATTATAAAAGATTTACTAGTGCAGTTAATCTGATTTCCAGAATCTTAAAACTTTCTGTATATTTTTAAATTTCGTTGTGATCTCCACAAATTCAACTTCGCGGATTCTTGGCCGTTAACACATAAAATTTTAATCGCAGTATCGTGCAACTGGAACTATAAAATGTCACCATCGGCATCGGTGGTTAGTACATGTACGTTGTAGTGAAACAACAAACCAAGAAAACAGGACTGGTGACGTTTCCTTAATGTGGGGATATTTTTTGCAATTTCTTAGAATTCCCATCAGAAAGAAAATAAACTTAATTTCTTTAACTGAATATTTACAAAGTTGCAATCTACTTCCAATAATCTCCATATTACAACATGTATCTTTTTTTCCAAGCAAAAAAGTATTTTTTTGGATACTGTAGCTCATTTTTCTTCTTTTCTTTATAGGAGGGGTATGATCAAAGCCACAGATATATAACCGAGAATGAAATGATAAATTTAAGTCGGGAGATTTTTTTTTAAAGATTTATTGTTAAAGCCGCAGAAATTATCACTGATAAAGTTATAGTCTATTTAGAACATTAATGAGCCGCGCCATGACAAAACCACATAGTGCGTTTGCGACCAGCATGGATCCAGACCAGCCTGCACATCCGCACAGTCTGATCAGGATCCATGCTGTT